ACTTCTTATTTCCAAAATAAATTTGGCTGAATGGAATTTGTTTCCCAAAAACCCGATGATACCATGATGAGCTTTCTTCAACACTTCTACGACAGACATCTTCAGATCAAGACTCTAACATTCATGGAAAAAACGGAAATGCACCACACCAAGACGGGTGTGACTGGCTGCATTGATAGTCGCTTTTGTGATCTTACTGCAGGATAGCATGCTTTGTATGGCTACTTTATACTTATTTTCGTATTAGAGTAGAGTTTCGAGACTACCACTAAATCAGTAATATGAAATGTATTCACCCTATTTCGTCTAAAGTGATGAAGGACTGGTAGTAGAATTTTCCCACAATGATATGAGTTGAAATTCAATGGAAACGCCAGCTCTACTCATATCATTGGGGGAAAATTCTACTACTAGTCTTTCATCACCTTAGACGAAATAGGGTGAATACATCTCATATTACTTTATACTTACTTGCTACGCTTCACACAGTGACATCAATTCTCGGACCCCTTGCCACCATCTTCACCTTCAGAGGGACAAGTCAACTTTCTGTAAATTATTAAGGAATTATAAATGTTTTTTTTAAAAAAAAACATGCCTTAAGCTGATCATCTGCTTTTTCTTTCTCGCCTAAAGTCTCCTCGAAGTCAATACCTACCTCCGCTAGTCTGGCGTCAGATCTCGTCGGTCTTGCCACAGCCGGAGTGGCCGCAATGGCTGCGGCCATTTTGGGCAGCTCCTCCTCCGTCGCCACGACCGATGAACCGGCGCCCGGTTCTGCTTCGACTGTCGGACGGGCTCTGGACTCATTGCGTCGACCGAATACACTCAACAGACTTGTTGCAATTTCGTCGTCAGGAGGAGGTACAACACCTGAAACCCTTGGCGATCCACACACCCACAGGCACAATTCAACAGGGCGTACAGACAAAACGTCACCAGATGAGCGCGGGAAAGGCAAACAGAGCGACGAGACTCAGTTTCAGGTAAGCACTTTGACCGATACATGCACACAACCAATCACTCGTAAAGCCGGTGAGTCCTTTATGTCATGTTATTGGAGGGATGACGAAACTTTCCACGAGGAATTTTAGAGGAACCTGGCGATTTACATTCAGTTCGACCGCGACTTTTAATTTCATCCCATCCGATGTTAAACCTTGGAAGTGTGGGCGTCGCCTACTTCGATAATTGTCAACTGTCGATGTAGAGTCTTTCATTTTGCATAAAAACTGTATGATGAAAAGAGTTCTAGGTCGATCTCACCGGAAGACGATAGCTGCTCCCTTTTGCTCTGCAACCGTTAGGCTTAAAATATAATCGAAGGCATGAAGACCAAGATGGTGTGGATTCTTGTGTGTCGCGTCTCCTTTCGTTGTATAGAAGTTGTTTGACCTTGTTTTCGCAACTTGGTCATATTGGTAGGAAGACTTAGCTGCCGACTACGGTGTCGGCGAAACA